TACTGTTTCTGCGAGCATTATTAAAGCGTTTTGACGTTGTGTATAAAATGAACTAGTTAGTAGAATGAAGTATTTAATAAGCCTTTCTATAAGTATAGGTTCGTTGAAGTAGTACTATGTCGTCCTTTGAATGAAAAGTGATGTGTAGTAAATCTATGTCCGCGTGTTTGCTGTCCTCTTGTATTGGGTTTATTAAAATCGTTTTTTGGTTAATGTATATAGTTAATTCTCTAGTGACTGCATTCGTCAGCTATTATGACTGTCTTTTTACAAAGGCCTTGCTAAGTAATTACAATGAATATTACGAAAACATCGGATATGCTGAAAAGTTCTTTAGTTCACAAAATGTGATCAACCACTCTTCTGCACACTATATTGTCTTCAAGGTAGACTGTGGCACATACCATATTTGATAATCATTAAATTTTAATTCGAGTTGAAGAACATGTAAGAGCTACACAACAATCCTGCAGAATCAGAAAAAAGCAGATAAAATCCTAAACAGTAAGTGAATGAAAGATACATTTAGCTACCGAAAAATCGATTCAACGAATATCGAAATAGTTAAGATATGTTTCTTGAATCATAAGCGAAATAAATATTGCTATATAGTAATGTTTCCTCAAGAGAAAAGAAGTCGTTACCATTCCACCAGACTGCAGTTTATGTTATATTCGAATCTGTCATACAAAGCTAGACTCATCTCCATCGTTATTAGCTATCTTTGTAAAACTCGGTTTTTAAACTTCTCTTAGAACAAATTTTGTTCCTGATATTTACGCAAAATCTACTTTGCTTTGAAACAGGGGGATATAATTCGACATACGAGTAAAATTCTTATCCATTGCTATAAAATGTACACAGAAGTGTAATGTTAGAGATATCATATCAACTCGTTTGTTTAACAAGTGTGAGTCCGTCTACATGTCTTAGTGATTGGGGAAATGTTTCCTCCATTATTTCTAGGTGAAAATGAAGATATGATTTAGGAAAACTAAACCTGAGAAACACAGTTTTAATGATGTGTGATTTTGCTGTCCTTTGTTCCCAATCTTACTCATTCTTATAACTACGTAATCGTTTATGAAAAACAATTTTGAATAATTATCTACACCCACGTTACTGTTTGTTTTCTGCCTTTCAATTCACTTTATTTATTATGCTACTTTTTGTTCACTAAGATAGTCAGTTCACTGTCAAGTTAAATCTTTGTTTTCTCATATTTCCCTGGGCCGTATTATCACTAATCAAAATCTGTAAATCATTGAATGTGTAAACTCATTTCAATGGGATAAATACTGATCTTTAAATGACTCACAGAGTATCGAGATTTCTCACTACCGAACGAATTTTTGAAAGTTTGTTCAGCATTCTCTGATAGTATTCAGCTTACCCGACCAATTGTTAAAATTCATTTCATTTACAAAGCTGGCAAAGTTAAACTTGAAGCACCACTAACTACCAATCAGCAAATGACGTCAAGGCTCACCAGTCACATTAAAGAGGGGTTTTTGATTACGGAAAAGATATATTCATGAAAAAAATGCATAAAAATGTTTCATAGGATACCTTTCTCTGACATGTGATAACTACATCTCTAAGTTGAGCATGGGAGTATCAATTGGAAAGTTACACCATATTCTATACATATATTCATATAAATGACATACTTTTGAGATTCATTAATGACCCTAATACTGTTTTTAACCTTCGCCAAAAGCCTTGTATAGAAGTGATATGTGTGGGATCCACAAAATCATTAGAATGGTTCACTCTGTGGTGAATATATCCAAGAGATGACAGGTAGTTATAACCTTTCCACTCATCCACCTGAATGATGACAACTACTCCTAATGACGAAGTAATTCTCTCCACTTTTCATGACGCGGTATCTCTGCAGTACTGGTACCATTGAACTGTTGATAGGCGACTATTTTCTCTGTTTCGCCTGCTACACCTGTCACAGGCTGTTTTAAAACCCAGTAACTACAAATATACAAAATCTGAGTTAAGGACAAGTGGAACCTGGCGAAAAATGTTTCAACGAAATATTAGAATCATCAACTTACCTTCCCTGACATTTGACTCGAATCAAGCGGCATAGCACCTTCAACTCACGTGGATGAAACTCACTGGGCCATTCAAGGTCATTCTCTGATTGGTAGTTAGTGGTGCTTAAAGTTTAACTTGGCCACAAATCTATCATTGTAATATAGACCGAACTTAAGAAGACCATTAACTAACTAGAAAATGCAAAATAGGAAGTGGCAGAAGATTATTCATAAGTCAATTCAATAATTTTATTGATTATCCTGTTGAAATTTTCAAATCGGTAGTGTATACTAACTAGATTACTTCGTTGGTGTGTCACACTCAGGGAAGAACGTGACTGTAGGCAATAGTAGTATGAAGTCTGTGCTGAATGAAGATTTTGTCTGGAAAGGCAATGAAAGCTTGGCAATTAGACCAACCAACGCAGAGATCACAACACACACACCTCAATATCATCCATTTGAGCTGCAAATCTTCACAATCATTTTTAAATTGCATATATACACATTATTCAACAAATGATACACTAAGTAAGCACTTATTTTATAATGTAGGCTGATATATTGACTACCAAGAGAAATCTGTAAACTCGAATTCTGTTTATTCTAGAATCTAGGTAACTGATGTAGTTTATGGTTAGGTTAGGTGGTGAATACGTATGTCGTTAATTGTATCACACAATCCCAATGTTCCTGTATGTATATGCATATGCCGAAACACAGTCGCATAATTTGATAGACAGATTCAATTATTTATTTCTCAGGTGTGCAGATTACTTGCATTATGGTGAATAAACTATAACGTTTCAGCGTTATTTACTTGGATAGATATTTATAAATATATTATAAGTTGTTCACTCTGCAGATGGTGTGAGATAGTATTCTACTCTAAAATAAGCACTAGAATTGACGATTTTATGATTATATATATATATATTCAGTGTGTAGTATGCTTTGTAGGAAGGAGAAGAAGAAGGCCATAAATGATGAAAAAACAAATCAACTAGGATCAGGAAGACATTCTGCATTTTAAGAAGGGTAAAATGTTATTGCGTATACGTCATTGTATTGTAATTTAGAATACGCATAGTTTGTAATTCTTCATTTTGCAAATATTGAACAAACAGCCGAGGAAAGTTACACAAAGAACTAAAATACTTTTTGCCCTAAAATGGCACTGCTTTATGCAGACTGAGTTTGAACTAAGGAATATATTTTCAACAGTGGCACATATACCTTTTACCACGGATTGATATCAGTTAGAGAACCGATGAAAACCACGGAGTACTGGACAGCTATTTTGTCCTAGTTTGGGACTCATCGGCAGTACGCAAACACACCAGTTTTTGAACGTAGAACCTCCTAGTTATAAGACAAGCTTGTAAGCCGTTCAGCCACTGTGACTCGTCTCAACTGCTTATAAATTCTAACTTCTACCAATTCGTGAATGCCGACGAGTGCGTACTGCTCATGAAACCAAGACTAGGAGGAGACAGCTGTCTAGTACTCTGTGGTTTCCAATAGTTTTCCAACTGAAATTAATCTGTGTTCAAACCTGAAACAAGTCAAACCACGGCAAACTGATCCTTTGAAATTGGTACATTCGTTCACAAAGGCATACTGGATGCAAATATGTTTATATTTGAGGTGTATTTGTCTTATTCACATATCATCGGTTAATTTAGTAAACATACCAAACTGTTCATCATCCATTGACTGGTTTTAACAAATTATGAATACTATAGGTTCTGATACACAATGAATAAGCAAAGTGGAAAATTCCATGAAGTATAGACATCCTATTTCTCATTTTCATTTGGCTTAGTGATAATGACATGAAAATAAGTAATGAAAATTTGCGTGGTATTATAATCGAATCTCGTTGTTCTGACTTTAGATTAGTGAGAATTTCGACCAATTTAAATGAAGGCGTCGTCACGAATTGACATCAGACAACCCGGTGGCTGATTGGTTAACAGGCTTTGGCCGTTAGATGAAGGTCCAGGGTTCTGTGACTGGTACAGTTGCAGGTGCGCTCTTCTGATGATTTTCAAACCTGAGAGAAACAGATTTCCAGTGCTACTTGTGTATCAGTGGTTCTTTGATTGATGTTGATTGGCGATGAAATCTCGCAGTATTTTTGGCAGCTTAAACTGATTGTCAAATATCGTCATTACTCTCATCTCATGTACTACTACAATAATATTCATAGTTAATTTATTATTTGTAGCTTCAAGCTGATCAATAAACAACATAAAGCCTCTGCGTTATGAGTCACCCCATTGTTCACAGTACGTGTGAAGTGACATGGACTTGCAAAGCAAATCAAGTTAACTTTGAAAGTTGTTTGCATAAAATGTGTTTATAAGGCTAAAAATATTCCTTTCTATAACCGCACCATCTGGCTTTACAGTTATATAAACACGTAACATTTGAAGAATAAAAGCTACTGAAAATATTCATGTTTCAGAAAAAAATGATATCGAGTTGATGTGATGAGTAGAATTACAGTTCAAAAGTAAGACGCATAAAACATAAAGATAAGATGTATATAAGATGAAATTAAGAAAATTTGTGCCACAATCAAAGACAGTTAAAGTAATTATGATCAAGTTAGGAAAAGTGTCTGGATGAATTTCTGTCGAACACATAAGTTAGACTTCTAGATGTGCATTCTGATGTACGCAAAAGGCAACCTCATAAGGTGAAATTGAAATCAGTCGGAGAACCGTAGATAACTTTAAAAGGTGGATTAACTTCGATTTTGTGTTCAGTGTCTACAAGATGAGTTTGGACGGGACTACTAAGAGACGTTATCACTTCCTTGCATGATCAGCATGTTTGTCAAATCCAATGGTAAAGATGCTTGATTGTACACCCAATGTAAGTGACTCCACAGGAGCAGTCAAATTGTGATAGATACATTCAGAGGAGGGGAAATTAGATGGTTTATCCATAATTCCCGTAAAATGCGCACGGGATACGGATGCTACCAGCAATATCACTACCAATACCAACTGGAGAACCATTCAACGCCAATAGTACAGCTTCCCCCGTTGAACTCCCACCAGGCATTCTCGACGAATTCATTGGATGTTTTGCCTCACGATAAATACAGTGAAAGCTATCCAATGTGAGACATAACTGACTGGTCACAGTAGTTACGAAGGGGATTGAACCAACACTCTTGAGTACTTTCACGAGAACACAATCATCGCTCATAGGTTTGCTACAGCGTTTAATAACACCCAAAGTACTATCATAACCGCCCAATGTAAAACTCTCTTTTATGCTAATTGGAATCCCATACAGCTGTGATTCTTTATCGATGTCCGATGACGATATCATGTTAACAGCATTCTCTTCTGCCTCCAAAATGAATTCACAAATACCTGAATTTCCGTTATCGTACAACTCCAACGCTTTGAGCTGAAAGGCATGTAGAACATCAGCGGGTTCTAAACTTCCTGACTTGATCTGCTCAGATAAATATGACAAGCTTTCGTTACAAATGGTACGTGAGACTGATGTTGGCAAATTCGACAGACTTTGTCTAACTTTTTCGACATTTTGTTCGACTTGTCTTCGCTTAACTGTTAGCCGTTTCTGATTGTGGTATGTTTGGAGTTTGACAAGTAACTTCCAAGATATCAAGCCCAAACTTATGGCCAGAATTATATTCCTGATTGGATGTTTTGTGAGTAAAGCTGTTAACTCTTTCGACAACTTTGTAACAGGTCTTCTTAAGCGATTTTTTAGCTAGAAATATTGTTTATGTTTCCCTTTGTTTTAATTGAATGTAGTTGTTTATGCAGATGCGTATTTGTGGTATTGCGTTGTCAGTCTATAATTTTGGAGAAATATTAAACGCTTGATCTAACAATATTTTATAATATCAAATTTCAAGGCTGCAGTTCTGCTTATAATAAACCAGGTCATCTTGATTATATGAGAAGATGAAATTGTGCAAGTGTTTTTATGATCTTTCTAGTCAACCATTTTGGGTGTATAAGTAAAATGTTCACTGTTGTAGAGACATAGCGGAGAGATAGCTACTTTCTCTTGGTTAGAAGCTTTTGTTGTCTAAGCTTCTCTTCAAATAAATTAGGAATTCGGGATTAACAAATGCAATTATTTGTCACTGTAATAATGATAACAAACATAACATCACAAATAAAGTTTGTGTTAGCAATTGTCAGGTGTTACCGTGAAAGAAAACTATTCACGGTGGGTGTTGAATGCCAAGATATTAAGAAAGACTTGGCTGAGCTTTTTCAAGCACAAAGTTTTCATGGAAGCTCGGTCATCTGGGCTCAAGCGTGGAAAGAATTCGGCGTTAGGCAACTGAGTTTGCTGATGGTGTTGTTGATGGAGTTAGGGAAATAAGGTGGTATCTCGAATTATTAGAATGGTCAATACTGGATTTCTGTTACATTGTGGTGCTCATCTTTATTTTATTATTCACTACTCGTACAATTCCGATACAGGTGAAGGGTAAGCTACTGTGTACGTACTGATAAATTTGGCTGCTCTTTTAATGGTATTGACTTAGGTAGAATTACTTGGGAGATCCATCATCGCCATCTTGAGAGATTTCCTAGGTTTATAGGAAAAGGAATCGTTAGGTCAATCAGGAGTTTCGTAATGGCACATCTAGTGGATATAGAGCACAAAATCGATAGAAAACCAGGCTTTACCTGGTTACCTGGTCCAACTAATTAATTCATACTCTGACATTTTCATCATTGAATTTCAACTGTGTGTAAACAACATGTCCTTTTTGTTGATTTTGAATAATTTTTTTACGGCATATTCAATTTCACTTTATGTGTAAAGTACCTTTATTTAAACGCATGACTGTCTGGGAAAATCTTTACTTCAATGACTAATTGTGGTTTAGGTGACAGTCTAGTTCAAGCTTATTCGCTCGTTTATTTCATTTTCAGTCTTAAATGTTGTGCCCTGCTTGCGAGGAAGACCTACCCCTAAATTCATTAGAATCTTTTCTTTCTCCAATGTTCGAATATCAGCAACTCAAAGTGCACCGTGATGGTAAGCCATCTAGCACGGTAGTCACATTGCAAACTTGACTGGTAGAATTCAGTCTGCACTAAAGATAGGACTAGACACATTACACTAGTTACTGACTAGCATCCAATCAAAACATTCTTTCTCTCGTATATTTCGATTTATTTTAATTTTTCAACCTTTGTTTGCCTTTATGAAGTGTACTAACTTGGACTGTTGCACTTTTGTGCAAAGCTCTGTACTCAAGTTCAGTAACTCTTGTAGCTTAGAACAGGAATTAGGAAAGTATGTTTTCAACCCTGAAGAGACTTAGTTTCGAATCTTAAAAAGAAGATGTGTCGATCGATCCTAGAATCAAACATTTTTACCATAAACACGAGCCTATTACGGTTCGATCTTCTGTACGAGAGGGTTACATGGACAAATTGCTGATTCAGTATTATCTATTCTGAATGCTAGTCTTAAATATTGGTTAAGATAAATCGAAAAGTTGTTTGGTTCGCTGAGTAAATTCAGTAACACAAGATCATTGTGTACTGTGATTGTTTCTTAGATATGAGGAAATATGAGAGCAGATAGCAATGGATTCAGGTCTCTAGACTTTATAGGCAGCTAGAATGTCATAGTTACCACTAACTGATCGACCAATACCAGACGGGTAATATAATGTTAAGTGTAAATTGCCAAATTAATAAACGAGAAACTTAGATACACCTTTGTTCCTTCCTTTTTTTCTTAGAACAATTGATTAGAATATATTGAAGTGTACTGTGACATTTGTAATCTATGATCAGGTTTGAAGATCAGTACGCATGATATCACAATTTATTTTACTGGAGCCACTTAAATTCCTATTCATAGATAAAATGCCATACATTAGTAACTTAACGTTGGTATGTAATAGAATGTATGATGAGTTTATGAGATTAGTGCAATGTTCTCTGGTTTTTATTCCTGCTAATCACACTTTTTCTAATCTGCTAATCAAAGTTCAGTTTCTAATCTGAATCAAGGTTAACCTATTGGAGAGTTTCGCTTAACTTCAGGAGTATTTATAAACTCTGATAAAGATAGCAGTTAATCTGTAGAAATTTTCAATCTCTCCATCCGACTGATGTACATCAATGATTATTCCAGTTTATACGACTATGATAGTCAAACCTTGTGGTGATAGCCAGTGCGAGTCATCTTGAATGATAAAGTGTTTAATATCTTAGTATTTATAGTATCCGTTGATGCGAAAGTTTTATGATGATACCTGCCTTTGAGTTGATTATCCAGAAGCTTTCTTAGGACTAAACAACGCATTCTACCAGAACCCATAAGGCTGTTTTAGATGTAATGAAGAGTTGTATCGTGAAGTGAACCGAATCGGTAGTGTCTGACAAGGACGCTAAATACCCTTGTACTGGAGGTGAATTGACTTGACTGTGGCCTATTACGAGTTATTTTGCACTGGGAGACAAGAGCTGATTAGTTTACAGTGCACAAGTCAATTAGATCAGCTTGTTGAAACCATAGTTTTCTTACCGTGGTGAGAACAAATCTAGTTGCATCAAATGGATACCTTTCTGCAGTTGGGAAAAATGAGCAGAAACGTAAGAAATGTGGACAGAATCGAAATAAGTGAGATGTGAAACTGGTACGAAACATGGTTAAAAGAAGTTATTGATGCTGCAGTTTACCCACTTTCTGCTCTCGTTTCCGCTGATGAAAATTGTCCAGTTATCCCACATTTTGTCCGATTTTCCCAAGTGTGTTCTCTGACTGGGTGACGATTCATAAGAGGGAAATATGAACTGTGCAGAGAAGATATAACTGGCTGACGAGTTTTTCGATGATACGTACTGTCATTCAACTGGTAATCTCGTGACGGTATTAGGAGAATCCTTTATTGTTAACTTGATTCGCCACTTATGTGTGGCGACTTGAACTGCCGCACATATGTGCAAAGTTCTATGTCGAAAACCGACTGACCGATTCTTGCAGATGAGGTACATATTTATATGTATATCTATATACTACTTACAAATTTTGTCAGTAGAGCATGCCACAGTGTTAAATAAGGCAGCAGTGAGAGTAACATTGAGGCAAGACACTTGATATTATATCTTCAGACAGGGTTGTGAATCTCCACCGACTTAGGTGGCTGTGACATGCACCACGAACGGTGAGCCATCAACTAATACAACGAGCAGTGATTTCTGAAATAGTAACCAATTGAAATACACTTAGTCATGACATGTGTGTTGGTGGCACAGTGGTTAGGACTCTCACCGACCATGCACATGGTCCGGGGTTCGATCCTCTGCCGGCGCACACCCAATATCTATGGTCGGCCTGAAAAATTTGGGCTGCCGATATCCATGCTGAAAACTCCATACTTGTACTGAAAATACGGTGTGGCATCAAGCTGTAATCAAAAATGAAAAAAATGAAAAAATAAATACATAAACAGAGTGATGTTCCAGAATGTGGGAGATTAATTGAATATGTATCTTTGCAAATAATACATATTTTCGGTTTAACTCTCGATAAAATTGGTTAAAAAGTTACCTATTGCACAGGAAACCTAAAATTTAAGGTGCAGAGAAAATTGTAAGGTATTACGCATTCAGAAATACACACTTTTGAATAAAATCAATGTCTTTTTAGAAGCAGTTAAAGAATCATGAAACCTACTGGCTGAAGTGATTCTTGACGTCAGATTGGAAGGCTGAATTTTAAAAGGAATGTCGTGTTTTACAGAATTACCATTTTCATTTACACAGAAGAATATCTATCCAAATGGTATTTTTGAAGTTCGGGAAATTCCGGATTGTAACTAGCTTCCTTATAGGACATCCGTTAAATGTAACAGTCGTCTATATATTATTTGGTCGTAATTCTCCAGTTTCAGAACTATACTCATCCCTGAAACTACGCTCCCAGAAATATCACGTCATGCATGAGAAATTTGTGCAACGATAAACTGGAAACTTCAAAGCCACAACTTATATCACACAAGTGAAAACAACGAAGTCGATTTTGTATACACAACGTTTAAAACGGTACTAGAGACTCAGAATATCTTCAGTATTGTGGTGTTATTCAATAGGATTTAACTTATAGGGCAGTTGGCTTTTTGAACGATTGTATATCTGTGTAGGAAGTTCTGAATATCTTGTGGACCATATTATATTTTATGTCTAATCAGGAAAACCTAGAAATGAATCACTTATGATTTCTGAACCATTGTCATGAGTCTCGGGGAGTTCCAACGTAGATGACTAGACATTGGAGCAAACTACACTAGGCATATTATTATCAATACATCCGGA